AATATTATACCTCCTCTTTGAGTTAGCCCTGTTGACATTAGCAATATAAACTTGTTACTGCAGTAAACAAGATAAAATATCCTCTTAAAATAGAAAAATGTTTTAGTATATGAATCAATTATATTGCATATCAAGTGGGAATATCTTGAATTATTTATAAATAACTACACATCACGTTTACAGAAAAATTTTATGATAATAAGACTACAGTAGAATATAAATTCTATGACAGAATGAACTTAAACTCCAAATGCCTAGAACATCTGCAGGCATAAAGTAAGTGATGAACATGCCTGTTAAGTTAACACAGTTGGTCCTAGGTAACTTACAGGGAGAAGAAGACAGATTCCAGGAAGGGGAGTTTTGTAAAAAAACTGCTCTCAATTCAAATTTTGGCAAGTAATGTTGTTATCTATTTTCAAGAACTTGGTGGTTTATACGGTTTTTTAATTTTATTTGGCAAATTCCTAAATCTTTCAGACTTAGGTTTACTACATGTATTAATAAAACTTGGGCTTGATCTTCTTTAATTCTTTGTTAGAAGACTAGTTGGTTAGAAAGCAATTCCTCTTAAGGACAGCTATGCCACTGACAAGGAAGAATCTAAAATGTGGCACTGGACTTGTAATATCTGCAAAAAAGAAAGTCTCACTCTGTTAATAACTGATTGTTAATTTAAACATTCTTCACATGGCCAGAATTTATTGAAGCAAAGCCAGCAAGCCACTTCAGATGTAGATTGCCAAAACTTCCTGCTACTGCTGAGTCTTTCTTCAAATCTCTTCTACGCAGATGCCAAATGAGTAGTCAATTTTGTGGAAAATGAATTGTATTACTTTTTCGTTCTTCTATTTTTTTCCCCCGGGAATAAGTATCAATATAAAAGTGGATTTATAAGATACTTAAAGCATAGAAGTCTTTCAGGGCAATTAATATAGTCTCAACAAAATGAAATCCTAGAAATTCAGAACAAGTACCAGTAGTAAATCCTCTTGCATATGTCCAAAATTAAATAAAATTTTAAAACTTTAACATATATTCTATTTATTCCCCAAATGGCCTATGAAGTTACAAATCAAATAAAAGAGGAAAAAGTTATATCCAGAATGAAAAGGTTTCCATACTTTTATAAAATAATGGTTACACCCAACCAAAAACAAATATTAAAGTGCACTGGGCCTGGCACTCACGTATTTATTTTGTGACTATTTGCCTCCTTGGTGACACAAACATCTCATCTGTTCACACTCAGAATTGTGTGATTTTAGTGGTTTAACTTTGGTCTCTCGTGGAACATCTGCCATGGTGTTTGGTTTTTTGAAAAGCACATAAAATGCCATGAGATCAAACATTTCCCTTAAATTGCAGGTACTTTGCACTTTTCCTCTGTTTTCCAAATTTTCTATTTACACAGCTAACAACACTTTTATAATTAGGAAATAAAATTTGTGTACTCAAAAAAAAAAAAGCAATCTCCTCCATATGTTGTTATTCATTTTATAATGGGTATCAAAATAGCTTTCTCCTCAACCTACTTAAATGCCTCAATGACTTAAATGGAAAAAGAACTACTATAAGTGAAAACTAGAGCTCTTGAGATAATCCTGAACTGTAATTAAAAAAAAAAAATCATTCAGAAGAAGAAATTACTTATAGAGTCATCTAAAATGTTCATAATTAATGGATACATATGTTCCTGGAGTTGTTTCTAAAAATTCTTTCTACAACTAAAACCCACACTAACTTCCTCAACAATTTAAACTCATGACTGTCCTCTCACAAGTGCTACAACATATAAATTCCATAACTAAGTTTTAAGAGTGGTTGAATGGGGAAGG